CTGTGTGAATGTAATTGCAGAGACAAGTCAAACTGACTAATTCATGGCAAGTCAAAATACCTGGCACATGTTCCTTGATGGAATTAATCTTAACGATAATCAAGCAGTTTTTGTATGATGCAGGTAAAGGGGTCCTTGTTGGTTTATTTGCCCCACACCACAAACTTGTTATTCTCAGCATACTTCTCAGTTTACTTCCAAGATATCCAACACCAGAGTACCTGCTTAGAGTCACCCGGGCTGCAGAACTCTGCTTCTCTATCAGAAACCAGGATGTTAGGCTTGTGGGTATGGATGAAGGCCAGATGCATGCCTGGTTTTGTGTGATGTTCCAGATTCTCATCATAATGGGACTGGCTTAGCCCATACGCAAACAGAAATAGAGGTTTACTCACCTGTACCTACAGTTTGAGATGGACTCTACACATTCAAACCCCACGGAACACTTCATAGAAGTGTCATTGGAGTACTCTCACATGCCTTCCTGCTCCTCCTCATTATTCCCAAATGTTCTGAGGGTAAGGCTATAAAAGGGAGTGTGGCAATAAATTCCTTCCACAATTTCCTCAGGTCTGCAACTGAAATAAGGTCTCTGATGACGAGGGGAATGTAAGAGTGAGTGAGTGCTGCTTCTCCAAGTGACCTCTACACATTCCTACTCTAGAGATAGTCTGATAGAATTCTGTGTCACAGTACTGGTTAATTCAACTGTGACTGAAAAACTGCTCTACCAAATTGTGCATTGGACATGGATGTTAAAATTAAAGAAATAATATTTAGTGAATTTGCGTATAGAGCTCCAAGTTGCAATTCAGCAGATTTCAATAATAGAGACATTTAAAGCATAACAAAGAGGCTGACTTAATCCTAGTGGAGCATTTCTTAACCCTCACGGGAAGAGGAACAGTCTAGCTTGTATTCTCTTCAATACATAACCCTAACCCATCTGGAGAAGCATTGGGAAGAAATAGCCTGACCTTTACAATTCTCTAAAGGATATAAAGAGATATGGGGATTTTCTGCAGCCTTTGGTACTTTTTAAATAATAAGATAATGCTCTTTTAGAGTAATGTGTACAGTCTCTATTTATCCAAGTGCATATGAAAGCTGGGAAAGAATACTGGTAGAGCAACTGATTGTTTGAGGGAAGTTAGTTACCGCTTTGGGCAGGAATATAGGATGTGACGAAGGATCATTTTGTGTTTGTGGAAAACTGTAAATGGTGAATCCACCTTCAAAGCCTGCAGTTCCCTTACTCTTCTGGGAAAACGTATTGCTATGATGAACACTGTTTAATAGATTAAGAGGGAGCACTCACTCATAGGTTCAAAGGTTGGTTTTATGAATTGAGTGAGGACTATCAGGGGTTCTCACAACAAATTTTTTGGTGGCCTCAGAGTGTGGCCACCAACTCTTGCAGGTGGCTGCTCTGACAATTTTTCCTAAAATATTTTAACAACTTTAAGAAAAACAAATATGCACATATACATATCCAAATCATTGTAATTTATTTATGTAGGTTTTTTTTTTTTTTTGCAGACAATAATAAAAATGTACTGCTGTCTCTATTCTTTACTGGACTTAAATAGAATAGAAACACAAATAAGGTGCTTTGCACATTCTTGTCTTTTTTTTGTTTCTTTTGCTTTTTTGGTTGTTTTGTTTCTTAAGACTTGCTAGCTTACTAAATCTGCTGTGAAATATGATATTAACATACAAACAAATATCAGTTTTCACAGCAGACTTACTTAGCCCTGACAAGCCCAGGGACCAAGTAAGCCCTGGATAGAGAGATAGGTACGGAGGGAGTGCGGGCCAGGGATGATAGGGCACTGGGGGAGGCAGTGGGAGCCAAGGGTGATGCGGGGAGAGCTCAGGGCAAGAGCCCACCACCGCGCAGCCGGAGAACAGAGCCAGAAGCCCCATGGCTGGAGCCTGCCACCCACCGTCCCAGGGCTGGAGCCTGACTTCACCACCCCCAGGAAGCTGGAGAACTGACTGGCTGCCTGCTCCTCCAGCTGGTCTCTCTCCAGAGGGGAAACGCTATCCCACACCAATACCAAGATTTCAAAGAGGGTTTGGAGGTATCGTGCACAGTTTCTCAGTGCATAAGATGATAGCCACAGGAAATCTGACATCCTTGAGTATCCTATTAAGCTACAAGACAGAAAACACAATAAAAAAATTGCCATTCCTCCTGGACATAGTTCTACTATGGTTTGAAGCCACTAAAGTTAATACTTCCTTCTTCAAAAACATATCTGAAAGACAGGTACGAAGCATTAAAAAGCTTGTCAGACAGTCAGTGAGACTGATAAAAGATCCTCCCAATGCTGAGAACACCAAGTAGCCTCAATATGTTAAGAAACCTGAAATCCCCAAAACCAATATGCTGGACCACCCCAAGTCACACATTGGAGAAAAATACTGTGCTTCACTACTAGGACAGACACTGAAGTCTCAGCAACAAAATCAAACCAAAACACATCTAAATAGGGTCTGGCATATCAAAGCAGAAACTGACATGTCAGGGTAGGAACCAGAACACTGAAAAAGCACCAAAACCTCCTCCCTCAAAAAGAAGTACTGAAGCACTGCAGAGTATGTGGGAGCATTCAAGGCAAAGTTCTCAAAAGGAATTTAGGCATTTGTACTAGACAGACAGACCTCAGTTCTTTAGCATAAGACTGGAAAAGTACGGATAAGTGCTATAAGGATACATGAGCATCTCCAGAAGAGCTGAAGTAATGCAGATGCACAGTCTAACAAGGAGTTCCTGCATCAATTATAGATCAAGAAGGAACTAACTGAAGCATTCGGAGAAAAGGCTATTATAAAGAGGACATCCAGCTTACACTCTACACCAGTGGTTTTCAAACTGCAGGTCGCCACCCAGTACTGGGTGGCGGAATCTAAGGCACTGGGTCGCGGTGGATCTGGTCAGCACTGCCGACCGGGCCATTAAAAGTCCCGTCAGCGATGCTACCCAGCTAAGGCAGGCTAGTCCCTACTTGTTCTGACCCTGCGCTGCGCCCCGGAAGTGGCCAGCAGCAGGTCCAGCTCCTAGGCACGGAGGCCACGGGGCTCCACACTCCCCTTGGCCATGAACCGGCCAATGGGAGCTGGGGGGAGGCCCTGCCTGCAGGCGAGAGCTGCGCGGAGCCGCTTGTGCACCTCCGCCTAGAAGCCGGACCTGCCCCTGGCTGCTACCGGGGCGCAGCGGAGTCCGCAGTGCCAGGACAGGCAGGAAGCCTGCCTTAGCACCCCCACTGCACCGCTGACCAAAAGTTGCCCGAGGTAAACCAGTGCCCCAATCCCCTACCCCAGCCACCCCCCAAAAAAACTCAGAGCCCCTTCCTGCACCTCAAACCCCTCATCCCCGGCTCCCCGCCAGAGCCTGCACCCCCAGCCCAGAGCCCTGACCCCCTCCCACACCTCAACCCCCTGCCACAGACCTGAAACCCCCCACCCCAAACCCCTCATCCCCAGCTCCATTGGGTCAACTAGATCGCCAGAAAAAAAGTTTGAAAACCACTGCTCTACACCACTACTGCTGCCCTTAAAGGTTACCAATCCTCATGACCTAAGGGAATTCTACCAATTTCACACTGAGGAGCTAAAACCTGGAGCTAATCTTGCTCAAATGATATTATAATTCAAGTATTATAAACCATATTTTACAGATGAGGAACTGAGGCAAAGTAAAAGTGACTTGCCCAAGGGCAACAAAAATGATTAGGACTATGGAATAGCTTCCATATGAGAAGAGATTAAAAAGACTGGGACTGTTCAATTTAGAAAAGATGACTAAAGGCAGTTCTACACTACCACTTAAATCAATCTAAGTTGCATCACTCAGGGGTGTGAAAAGGACATCCAGCTGTGCGATGCAACCTAAGCGCTGTCCACTCTGGCACTACATCAGCGGGAGACACTCTCCCATCAGCACAGAGCATCTTCACCAGACATGCTACAGTGGTGCAGCTGCACCGATGTAGTGCTTCTAGTGTAGACCTGCCCTAAGGGAGGATATGACAAGAGGTCTATTAAACATGAATGCGATAGAGAAAGTTAATAGGGAATGTTATTTACACCTTCACATAACACAAGAACTAGGGGTCACCTGATGAAATTAATAGGCAGCAGGTTTAAAATAAACAAAAGGAAGTACTTCTTCACATAACGCAGTCAACTTGTGCAACTCATTGCCATAGGATGATGTTAAGGCCAAAAATGTAACAGGATTAAAAACAAGAACTAGATAAGTTCATGGAGGATAGGTCCATCAATGACTATTAGCCAAGATGGTCAGAGAGACAACCCCATGCCCCAGGTGTCCTACACCTCCAATTGCCAGAAGGTGGGACTGGACCACTCAACATTGCCCCTTTTCTGTTCATTCTCTCCAAAGCAGCTGGCATTGGCCACCGTCAGAAGATAGGAAACTGGTCTATATGGACCATTGGTCGGACCCAGTATGGCCATTCTTATGTTCTTAACACAACACAGATCTCGAGTCCAATGCTGTAAATCATAAAACCACCTTTCTGTAACATACCAGGGTACAATCCAGACTAATGAGCAGCTGTCACCCCTGCCCTGCAACTTTGGGTGCTTTACAATGCCTTGCTGAAGGAATTTCTACTTGGGCTGTTCACAAACAACTTTCCAGCATGCAAGCCACAACTTGAGTGTTTGTGTGTAACTGCAGCCTGCCAGCCATAGCTGGATTACTCTCAGGCTCTTATCAGTCTTGGTTATACTGCAGGGGGACCACAACACACTCCCAGTCTTAGATTTCCCCCCAGAAATGTATGTCCTGTACTGTCCAGCCCAGGACCTGGAGGAAGTCAGCACCTGTGACCGAAGGAACCACACAGGGCCTCTTTTTGAAGCCCTGTGGGTGGGAGGTGGGGAGAAATAGGGTTGTTAAGAGGGGAAAAGAAACAGCACCAAAAGTATAAGTATTCCCACAAAAAGATAACTTGTTGATTGCTTACGGCGTATTCTTCTGGTGTAACCTTAAGAACGTCGAATACCACTGCATCAAAGCTTTTCTTCAGTTCAGCAGAACCTTTGTCACTTAAGGATTCAGAGCTGCTACTCTTCTGTCAAAATAAAAAAAAAGAACATAGATACAGTTCTCTTTTCAAAACAAGAAGAAAATGTTTATTTTCAAGTGTCTCTTTGTTGCAAGAAACATTTCTATACTGCAAATTACCCTTGTGTGTGTAGCATATTAGGACATGTAGCATATTAGGGCCTGACCAAAACCCCATTGAAACCAGAGAACCTCAGTTGACTTCAGTGGGCTCTAGATGATGCTCATAATGCACAACATTTACACAGAGAGAATTGGCATTTAAACTTGCTTACTCAAGGCAAAAAATGATTTCTACTAGTCTTAGATTTAAAAAAAAAATCACTGCACAGGGCGAATAGATACAAAGACTGGTCAAGAAAGAGCTAACATTGAAATAAAATGGTAGTTGCAGGTAAGTACTAAGATGATAAAATGTCAGCTATCCTACCTCCTTTCTTAAGCACTAAAATCACTGCAATTACAAAATAAATTTGATTTTTGTTTAGACCTTTTGTAGTGATTGGGTTAGCAGACAACATGAAAGTAATAATTAATAAGACTGTAAATCAGTTTCTCTCTTAAATCTGAAAGGATACCAGAACTCCAAAAATTACTTACAATCAAGATTCTGGATATCAGATATGCAAACTATCCTAGTGGATGGAAACTGAAATGTTGCTCTCCTTCCCCTTCCCCAGCCCTCCCATTCCTTTATCTTTCTGGTTTTCTGCCTTTTTCTCCCATTCTCTCCTGATTTTTTTTTTTTTTTTTTAAAGGGGGGGAATGTCAGTAAAATATAAAAAAAGATACAGACTGTATACAAGTGTCCTTGCTAAATGCAACTATATTTCATAAAATATATATGATATTTTACACAATAATCTTGGACACAATATGTCTGCATTGTACATACAGCAAATTGTGGGATCTGAGGGGGAAGCTGGGTTCTTCCCTTCTCAGGAGTTACCACCAATAAATGGTTCTGGCAGCCAAACTTCACTGTTTTCAAATTATACTTTTAGTAACCAATCCAGCAATAACTGTCCCAGCAGCTGCATAAGCACTAGTGCAAACTACATTTGGATGTTCTCAACATCTTTCCATGAAAACCAGAGCAAGCAGAATTTGTTTCTGTTATAACACTGCTCTACAGCCAAAATGCTTCTGAAATAAATGTAGTCAAACTTTATTAATTTTGGGTCACTGAGAACGAAAATGATGCTTAAAATTGTTGATTGGCTCTAGTTTTCAAGATATGCTATTGGGTCAGTATATACGACCCTTGACTTGCGAATGGGGGAGGATAAGTGAGTTATAAAGGGAAGGGATCTCAATTTAAACCAGAAATGACTAAAATACATCTTTGACTGGATCTATGAATAAATCTATGACTGGGTTTGGACAGTACTTGCTTTTTAGGCAAAACAATGAATGATGCAATCTGAAGCTGGTATTGCATCATACATGATATGAATTGCATCATGTTATTCCTAGAAGTCATGGATGATGCAATCATAACAAAGCTTACATCACTCTGCTGAACAAATTGCCCTATATCAGCTCTAGAAATCATAGTGTCGTGCTCTCTTATTTGTCAGTGTTTGATTTTGCAAAGGGACACATTTCTGTTTAGCCAAAGTGAGCAGAGATGCCTCGTACTTGTGTGAACAGTGCAGATAACTTCTGCTATGTTTGTGGTGAAGTGACTTTTGCATCACAAAAGCGCAGTATAACCACTATGGTTAAGAAAGCCTATCACCTTTATTTTGGCTGCAAAATTGGAGATCAGGACAAGAGGTGGGCCCCACACATATGCTGCAAGACTTGTGCAACAAATCTTCGCCAGTAGTTGAACAGGAAAAGGAAATCTATGCCTTTTGCAGTGCCAATGATTTGGAGAGAGCCAACAGATCATACCAGCAATTGTTACTTCTGCATGGTGCCTCCAGTTGGGAAAGGTGTGTCAAAGAAGAAAAAGTGGACTGTGCATTATCCAAACATTCCATCAGCTATACGCCCAGTACCCCACGGAGAAGGACTGCCGGTTCCTGATGCACCAGAATCATTCTCACTTGAGTCAGACGAGGAAGAGGAAGAGGACGAAACTTCTGATCCTGAACCATCAATGTCACAGGACCCACATTTTCTCCCATCCTCCTCCTCTGAACCACACCTCATAACACAAGGTGAACTGAATGACCTTGTCAGGGATTTGGAACTACCCAAGAGTAAGGCAGAGCTGTTGGACTCCAGACTACAGCAGTGGAATCTCCTAGCAGGTGATGTTAGGGTTTCCATGTTCCGTGACCGTCAAAAGGATCTTGTCCCATTCTTCTTCATGGAAGGTGATCTTGTAGCCTGCAACAACATAGATGGTGTGATGGCAGCCCTCAACATCGTTCACGATCCAGATGAGTGGAGACTGTACATTGATTTATCGAAGACGAATCTTAAAGCTGTTTTACTGCATAATGGCAATGTTTTGCCATCAATTCCAGTTGGTCATGCAGTCCATATGAAGGAAACCTATGACAACATGAAACAACTTTTGAGGTGCATAAACTATGACCAACATCAGTGGCAGCTTTGTGGCCATTTGAAGGTTTTTGCTCTCTTGCTTGGTCTGCAGACTGGATACACAAAGTACTGCTGTTTTCTCTGCGAATGGGATAGTCGTGCAAGAGATTCCCACTACATCAAGAAAGATTGGCCACTCCGACAGTCATTGGAGCCTGGGAGGAAAAGTGTTCAGCATCCACCACGTGTTGAATCAAGGAAGATTTTGTTACCACCCTTACACATCAAGCTGGGTCTGATGAAGAACTTTGTCAAGGCCATTGACAAAACACAAGCAGCTTTCAAGTACCTCCATGGAAAATTTCCAAGGTTAAGTGAAGCTAAGATAAAGGAAGGTGTCTTTGTTGGTCCTCAGATTCGTGAACTTCTTCGAGATGATGCATTTGACCATGCACTGCGTGGCAAGGAAAAGACAGCATGGAAAGCCTTCCAGTTAGTGGCAATAAATTTTCTCGGAAACAACAAGGCAGACAACTACAGGTTGTTGGTGGAAAACCTCCTCAAGGCATACAAAAGCCTTGATTGCAACACGTCACTAAAGATACATTTTTTGCACTCTCATCTAGATTTTTTTCCACCGAACTGCGGAGCAGTGAGCGACGAGCACGGCGAGCGATTTCACCAGGACATTGCAACAATGGAGAAACGCTATCAGGGCAAATGGAGCCTATCAATGCTTGCAGACTATTGCTGGACAGTGACAAGAGATGCTCCATTTAATGAATACAAGAGACAAGCCAAGAAGCGCCGAGTAGACACTGAATAGGACTAAACTATGTACATAATAGTTTTTTGCCTTTTGTTTCATAATAAATTTTATTTATATAACCCTTTTGCTGATTTTTAAAGTGTTACATAAACAGGACAGGTGAAATATTATCATGTAAAGCAACCATAAACACATGAAAAGACCTAGGTTTACAATTTATGATTAAAACTCTACTATCTACACAATATACATAGACATAAAATGTAAAAACTTAAATATCTTAGAAACAGTAGCCAATCAGTTGTTTTAATTGTCATATTTGAATTCAGCACATCAAAATACATAATAAATAGCACATTTTATCTCTGAAGCAGACGACTTCTCAAAAATTGTAGACCAGTGTAATCAGTTATATAACCCAACTTCTAATTTTCCACATATAGCTAGGTACTGGGACATCTGGAAATGGAGTGAACTAACCCAGCTGAAATTTTAAATAATAGAGTCCTCTCCATTTTTTAAACTTATTTTAAAGAGCTGTTGGAGCAGAAAAGCACAATTATGGCTGTTATAGTAACTACTACATTACTGTAACGGTATAATCTCTTTTCAACATATGCATCAGGAAAACCACACAGATTTGCATCTTCAGCAACCTGCATGATGTGCTTCAACAACATTTAATGTTAAAAGTTAATATTAAAGAACAAAAAGATTGTTTTTTCCAATTGTCTACAAATAGAAACTGGCTTCCAATCACCAACGTTAGGTTCCTGTAATACTGCTTTGTAACGTGTGAACCCTCAGATTACTGTGCTGAGTAAAATGACAGCAACTCTCTCTTCTTAAAAGCCCTTTTTATTGGTTCACCAGCACACAGAAACAAATAACTGCTTCACTGAAGTAGCCTGGAATGATCAGCCACTTTTGATACAACTCAAATTATTCAGAAGAAAAAAAAGTAACTGAATAAGCAAAATAGCAGCTCCAAAAGATCACACTGATACAGACTGCCACTGTACTTAAAACGTAAAGACGCTTGTGTAATTAAACCCAATGGTATCTCAGCCTAACAGAGAGGCAGCCATGTTATCAACAATCAGGCTTTAAGGCAGCATTCTCTAAAGGGTTATTTTATTTCAAATTATATGACTAAGATATGACTAAACCTGAACTATTGGCCTGCAACTAAACAAATCTCAAAATTGAGACTGACTTGGTATCCAGTTTCCAAATACATCACAGCACATTTAGACTGCTTTCTAAGAGTGCAATATCTCAATTGTTGGAGATATTTGACCTGATCTTTACTGTCTTGCACCTTGTGTAGTCATTTACTTAGTCATAAAAGAAATCCAAACATGTTAAGATAGGAAATGTGATAGGGCAACCAAGCAACCTTAAATCTGCCCAGTAACACTACTTAAAAAATATTATTAGGATTAAACCTTGGTGTTTGTGGTCTTAGATTAAACAAATTTTTTAACATTAGATTTTTTTTCCTACCACCTGACGCCATATTTTAAATTTTTACACTGAATCTCAACTCTGAATTTCCTGGATTTATAACATTTAGCTTGAGAATAATTACAACATCCCTGTCAATTTATCCTAAATACTGATTTGTAATCTCAATTTTAACTCCATTTTAATATAGTTTGTCTTGAAATCTTCTTGGGCTGTTGATTTAAAAAAAAATCATAACATTAAACAAAAGTCTCAAAGAACTTTTATTTGATATTTCTAATTATTTGAAAATATGAAAAATCATCCTTTTAACTTCTATGGATAGATTCACTGGTATACTCTAGCTGTATTATGCCACTCTGGAGAAGTACAAAGCAGCCAGGACATATTGGCTAGTTTAGCTAAGTTTACAGCTACTCTTTTTTGCCAGTGCAGCAGAAAACAACCCGAGTGTACCCCTCATTTTTACCCTCCTCCCTATCTTCTAAATTGCTCCTTCCAGCCCCCTGAACACACATGGTTCCTTCTCTCTGTTGAGTAGATTTGGTGCAACAGGTGGCTTTTGAGAAGAAATATTTAGGATTAATGATCATTTTTGCCACTGTTTTTCATAATTAAGTTTATCTGTCAGAGGCTGGTGCATAAAATCTCCTTCAACAGAAACTCACAAAAAAAATTGCCCTTTGTAAAATAGCCACTATCTTACATTTGCAATGAGAGTGAAGCCAACCAAGCTTCCTCAGGGAAGATGATGGAGCTTTATGCTGTCAGGGGGCAGATACTCAGGACTTTACTCTACACTAGATACTTCCCTCCCAACACCCATTGCTGGGTGGATGCCATTATACAGGTATAGAAATGTTCATACTGGTATAGCTTATTCCAGTTCAAGAAGCAAAATAAACTATACCAGTATAAGTGCACCCATGCTAGGATTTGTACCAGTATAACTATATTAGTAAAAATCAACTCCTAACCAACACAGGTTTACAGATAACTTCTAGTGTACACCAGGCCTTAGTACCACTCTTCAGTGAACAGATGCCTTTCTCAAAATGACCACTGAGGTCAGCTAAGGCTTCAGTCCAATACAGAAGAGAGGGAGATGGCAGCCACTTTGAAAAGGGCAGTTTTTTGTGGAATTCTCTACAAAAGAAATTTGTTCTTCATCTCTACTGAAGAAGAAACTTTCAATTATGATTAACACAGTGGGGAAAAAAGCCCATGAATACCAAAAACAATCTACAAATAATGTGGCTTATGCACAAGATTTCAGCAAATTTTAACTATGACAGATTTGAAGAACCTATTATTCCATTACTGAGATCATGAAAGAACAAAAGATCGGCCAATGGGTGCTAAGTATTTCAAAGATCGTAATTTAATTTTTACATAATACTAATTTTACCTCAAACTAATGCATTTGCTTGTAAAATTCTCAGAAAATTCATTCTATACTCCCGGGGTAGTCAATTGGCATACGTCGGGCCAAATTCAAACTAGAAGACGTTTTTGAACAGACCCTGAAATTGTTTTATTTACTCATCATTATTGTTGGGGGTTACATAAGTGATCTCTCTCCTGCCATCCATCTCCATCCTCTGACAAATAGAGGCTAGGGACACCATTCCTTACCCATCCTGGCTAATAGCCATTAATGGACTTAACCACCATGAATTTATCCAGTTCTCTTTTAAACGCTGTTATAGTCCTAGCCTTCACAACCTCCTCAGGTAAGGAGTTCCACAAGTTGACTATGCACTGCGTGAAGAACTTCCTTGTATTTGTTTTAAACCTGCTGCCTATTAATTTCATTTGGTGACCCCTAGTTCTTGTATTATGGGAATAAGTAAATAACTTTTCCTTATCCACTTTCTCCACATCACTCATGATTTTACATACCTCTATCATATCCCCCCTTAGTCTCCTCTTTTCCAAGCTGAAGAGTCCTAGCCTCTTTAATCTCTCCTCATATGGAACCCATTCCAAAACCTTAATCATTTTAGTTGCCCTTTTCTGAACCTTTTCTAGTGTCAGTATATCTTTTTTGAGATGAGGAGATCACATCTGTACGCAGTATTCGAGATGTGGGCGTACCATGGATTTATATAAGGGCAATAAGATATTCTCAGTCTTATTCTCTATCCCCTTTTTAATGATTCCTAACATCTCGTTTGCTTTTTTGACCGCCTCTGCACACTGCGCGGACATCTTCAGAGAACTATCCATGATGACTCCAAGATCTTTTTCCTGACTTGTTGTAGCTAAATTAGCCCCCATCATATTGTATGTATAGTTGGGGTTATTTTTTCCAATGTGCATTACTTTACATTTATCCACATTAAATTTCATTTGACATTTTGTTGCCCAATCACTTAGTTTTGTGAGATCTTTTTGAAGTTCGTCACAGTCTGTTTTGGTCTTAACTATCTTGAGCAGTTTAGTATCATCTGCAAACTTTGCCACCTCACTGTTTACCTCTTTCTCCAGATCATTTATGAATAAGTTGAATAGGATCGGTCCGAGGACTGACCCTTGGGGAACACCACTAGTTACCCCTCTCCATTCTGAGAATTTACCATTAATTCCTACCCTCTGTTCCCTGTCTTTTAACCAGTTCTCAATCCATGAAAGGACCTTCCCTTTTATCCCATGACAGCTTAATTTACGTAAGAGCCTTACGTAAGGCTAGGTTAGATCCTGTCCACTGGATCCCCCTTGTCCACATGTTTGTTGACCCCTTCAAAGAACTCTAATAGATTAGTAAGACACGATTTCCCTTTACAGAAGCGACGTTGACTATTGCTCAACAGTTTATGTTTTTCTATGTGTCTGACAATTTTATTCTTAACTATTGTTTCGACTAATTTGTACCAATGTTAGACTTACCGGTCTGTAATTGCCGGGATCACCTCTAGAGCCCTTTTTAAATATTGGTGTTACATTAGCTAACTTCCAGTCATTGGGTACAGAAGCCGATTTAAAGGACAGTTTACAAACCTTAGTTAATAGTTCCGCAATTTCACATTTGAGTTCTTTCAGAACTCTTGGATGAATGCCATCTGGTCCCGGTGACTTGTTAATGTTAAGTTTATCAATTAATTCCAAAACCTCCTCTAGTGACACTTCAATCTGTGACAGTTCCTCAGATTTGTCACCTACAAAAGCCGGCTCAGGTTTGGGAATCTCCCAAACATCCTCAGCCGTGAAGACTGAAGCAAAGAATCCATTTAGTTTCTCCGCAATGACTTTATCGTCTTTAAGCGCTCCTTTTGTATCTCGATCATCAAGGGGCCCCACTGGTTGTTTAGCAGGCTTCCTGCTTCTGATGTACTTAAACATTTTGTTATTACCTTTGGAGTTTTTGGCTAGCCGTTCTTCAAACTCCTCTTTGGCTTTTCTTATTATATTCTTGCTCTTAATTTGACAGTGTTTATGCTCCTTTCTATTTGCCTCACTAGGATTTGACTTCCACTTTTTAAAGGAAGTCTTTTTATTTCTCACTGCTTCTTTTACATGGTTGTTAAGCCACGGTGGCTCTTTTTTAGTTCTTTTACTGTGTTTCTTAATTTGGGGTATACATTGAAGTTGGGCCTCTATTATGGTGTCTTTAAAAAGCGCCCATGCAGCTTGCAGGGATTTCACTTTAGTCACTGTACTTTTTAACTTCTGTTTAACTAACCCCTCATTTTTGCATAGTTCCCCCTTTTGAAATTAAATGCCACAGTGTTGGGCTGTTGAGATGTTCTTCCCACCACAGGGATGTTGAATGCTATTGTATTATGGTCACTATTTCCAAGCGGACCTGTTATAGTTACCTCTTGGACCAGCTCCTGCGCTCCACTCAGGACTAAATCGAGAGTTGCCTCTCCCCTTGTGGGTTCCCGTACCAGCTGCTCCATGAAGCAGTCATTTAAAGTATCGAGACATTTTATCTCTGCATTTCGTCTTGAAGTGAAATGTTCCCAGTCAATATGGGGATAATTGAAATCCCCCACTATTATTGAGTTCTTAATTTTGATAGCCTCTCTAATTTCCCTTAGCATTTCATCATCACGATCACTGTCCTGGTCAGGTGGTCTATAATAGATCCCTAATGTTATATTCTTATTAGAGCATGAAATTTCTATCCATAGAGATTCTATGGAACATGTGGATTCACTTAAGATTTTTACTTCATTTGATTCTACATTTTCTTTCACACATAGTGCCACTCCCCCACCCCCACCCCCGCACGAACTGTTCTGTCCTTCTGATACATTTTGTACCCCGGAATGATTGTGTCCTATTGATTGCTCTCAGTCCATCAGGTTTCTGTGATGACTATTATAACAATATCCTCCTTTATCACAATGCACTCTAGTTCACCCATCTTATTATTTAGACTTCTAGCATTTGTGTACAAGCACTTTAAAAACGTGTCACTGTTTATTTGTCTGCCCTTTTCTGATGTGTCAGATTCTTTTTTATGTGAATGTTTATCATCTGATCTGGCCCTTACATTATCCTCTTCCATCCTCTGCTCCTGACTAAAACCTGGAGATTCTCTATCATTAGACTCTCCCCTAAGAGAAGTCTCTGTCCGATCCACATGCTCCTCTGCAGCAGTCGGCTTTCCCCCATCTCCTAGTTTAAGAACTGCTCTACAACCTTTTTAATGTTTAGTGCCAGCAGCTTGGTTCCACTTTGGTTTAGGTGGAGCCCATCTCTCCTGTATAGGCTCCCCCCATCCGAAAAGCTTCCCCAGTTCCTAATGAATGTAAACCCCTCCTCTCTACACCATCGTCTCATTGAGACTCTGAAACTCTGTCTTTCCTACCTGGCCCTGCGCGTGGAACTGCGAGCATTTCTGAGAATGCCACCATTGAAGGGGCTGTAGGCTTGTAATCCTTACCTCTGAAGCAGTAGCGGCAATATTAACATTGCTCGACTGCCCATTCATTAGCTCCATACTGCCCACACCATTGATCTTCTGCCCTACATTTACAGCAGCAGGGTAGTCACTTCATTTCCAAGGCAACAGAGTAATCATTCCTACAAGAAAATGAAAGCAAGTCAGAAATTGTATTCTTATAATAATGCTGCTTGTTGTTTTCATTTCTGCACAGAAAAACTGTTTGGTAAGGAAAAATATTTTGGACCGTCAATGCAATAAAATTATTTATTTATATATGAATGCTACTGATACAATAAAGGTTTGTTGTATTTTCAATTTCATGAAATATTAGTGCCCCCTAGTGCTGAGAAACAGATCCTAGCTTAATTTTTACTGGTATCTACATTTGTATTTAATCAGAGTACAGATTAAATACATTTCCTGAATTTGCTAATTATGAATTATGACTTTTATATTTTAAAGTCAAGTCAGAACTGTGTCAGGGCTGCAATTAACTGGAAAACAGACGGTTTAACGTAACTATAAACAATCCGATAGGACTTTAAAATGTTTAACATTAAAACTGCAATAAAAGGCCACAAGACATAGATACAAAATAAAGTTAATTCATTCCATGGAATTTTTTCCAAAAACACACTCGTAAACATGTATAGATGAGTTTTAAATTACTTGCAGTAATCTTCATTAGTACATCTGACAGATATGTAATCCTAAAGAGCAAGAGATTGCAAGAACAAAAATTTAAGTAATTCAACATGCCCAGGAGTAATCTGATAATTAAAAGATCATTGCAGGAAAGAAAAAAAAAAAAAGAAAAAAAAAAGAGGAGGATTTGAAATATAGGCCCACATCCTGAGGCTTTCAAGATCTTTCTGCTCTCCACCAATCCTTGCCTGATCTATGCTGAGCTGGTCCACTGATGCAATTTAGAGCAGCCATGCAACTGCAAGTAGTTTAGACAGCAGCAACCCATCAACAGTGGTTATATGCCAACTCTGTTCACACATATCAGTTGCACAAAAGCAGTCAATGATGTACTTGGATGGTCTCAACTCTGTCCAGTATAAACTCAAACGCAGTAGCTACAATCCACAGAGCAATAATGAGGGACAAAAGATATGTTTAATAAACATTTTATCAGCATTTACAAAAAACTTTAAATACAAAAAAAAAAGTTTAGTTTAAATATATTCTTGTTTAGTTTTCCCCTCCAGAGGCTTTACATGAACAAAACAAAACAAAACAAAAAAAGACGGACAAATTAAGCAGCCACTATGCAATTACAACCTGTGAATGTGCTTGTTTTACTACTTGTTGGCACAATAATCCAGTAGCTGCTTTGATGCACATCTCCCACATTCCTGAATTCTGAAAAGGAAAACAGAGGGGCATTAGTGAAGAGATACAGTCAGGCAATTCCCCAATCCTCCTGTCCCCAGATTAATCTCAGATCTCAAATTACCTCCTCATGGTGCTCCAGCACCCAGTGATTTTCCCACTTCCATCGTCTGAAGACTGGTACATCCCTTGGACCCCACTGCATCAGATGAGATGTAAGACAGAAGTGTCAAGGAGCACGTCTTCACTCTGGACATGAACCACTCCTGTTCTCTGAATCCTACAAGGAACCATGAGAGAAGAAAATTATTAGCTCAGCTTCAAAAAACCCACTCACAACAAAACAGGAAAACAAAATGCAACTTTAAACTTAAAAATGAATTACAGTAATAAACAAGTTCCTTACCTCCTTAACCACCACCATTCAAAAGTAGCAGTGCTCAAAGTTGACTCTGACCTCAGGCCAAGAGTTAATCGGTAGTGGGTGCAGCAGGAGGCGATAGCTTTCTGCCATAGTATCTGCACGCAGTCATGCAAGGAAGCAGCCCCTGCCTCTCACAATGCATGCATGGATCCACCAGAAGGATAGGACTATTTAAAGCAGCAAGTTTAATGAACTAAAAACAAACAGTTGGACACATGTTTCAGGGAGCTGTGACTGCAATTGTCGGATAAGGGCTTTCTATTGAAAAATGTGTGATTTCCCTCACACAACTTCAGGGATCATTTGTCTTTTTAAAAAAAAGTTATGAGACACAACAAATACAATACTATAATCAGATAGCTTTTCTGCACAAGAGCAGAATCAACTAAAAAGTTTTCTATTCATGACCTTTGTCCACAAAAGTTTGGGTTTCTAAAAAGCCTCTCATTTTTTCAGGATCACCCACCAGCCTATTTGATTTCTTCGTACCTTCTGTTTTGTGATTCTTTGTGAAGGAGGTTACGTTAAAAAAAAATTATTTTATTTTACTGCCTTAGCTATTATTTTTCAATTAAACAAGAACAGACTGAAACCATGATGTAGTATCTTCTATATAAGCACTAGAGGAAAACACTACTTAAAAACATTCAAGGAACCTTGCTGAGCCCTGGTTTACACTACAACTTGTGTCAGTATAACTACGTTGCTCAGGGGTGTGGAAAATCCACACCCCTGAGCAACATAGTTATAGTGACCTAACCCCCAGCATCGACAGCGCTATGTTAAAGGAAGGGCTTCTCCTGTCAACATAGCTACCACCTCTTGGGGAAGTGGAGTACCTACGCCGATGGGAGAAGCTCTCCTTTTACCATGGAGTGTCTTCAGTAACCAGTGCAGCTGTGCCACTGCACCGGTGCAGCTGTAAGCGTAGACAAGCTCTGAGTTTATTATAGCGGACTGTCAGGCCTGCTATAGCTAAGGGCAAGACCAGCTTTCTATTTAAAGCTCAACTCTTCTACATGCTCCCGCACGGTTACTCAGATTGCCTTGAAATTTGGTGTGCCTCATATGGGCACAGGGTACAGTTAGGGAGCCAAATTTGAGGTATTTTGACCAAGGGGTTCCCAAGATACAGCAATCTGAAAAAACAGTTCTCTTAAGGCTGATGTATTTTTTTGCCCAGACCTGGGGATCAAACCAGTGCTCCGATCCTGTAACAGGGGTCTTAATCGCTCAAGAGTTACCTCCAACTAGTGTCTGCCCCATTGCCCCTTTAGAGGAGCAAAATTCAGAACTGTATTCACCAAAGAATTTAGCTTTCATTTCAGGCGCGTGCCTAATGGTCACAAGGTACACAGAGCATGCACGTATGCATGAACAGAGGAGCCAAGAGCCCATATTTGGGGGACCTTGACCTTCTGAAGGGGTCTATGCCAGTCTCTCCCTGCTCTATGCGTGAGCTGACATCTCGGGTTCAAGCTCTGTGGCCCTGCTGCTTGGGGTGGGGAGCTGAGAACAGACATGCTAGGAGCATGCACCAAGAACACACTGCTGAGACTGGAGGAGGTGGGGAGAACAGGTATGATTTAGACACATCACAGGTTTCTCAAACACTGGGGAAGGGGGATGGAACACCCACTGAGATGAATGGAGCAGTTCACATGTCAGAGCTATTGTTTCAGGCTGTACTCATCTCTAAGGGGTGCTCTCATTAGCTGAGACTATCATATTGAGATGAATGGCCCACTTCACACCTCTTAGAGCCTCCTGTATTTCAGGATTATCCTGTGCTGGGAATCAGGATATAGCAAAGCAGTTGCTGATGATTAACTTCATACAATATTAAAGCAGAGAGCTAGCTCTACTACAGCTGAGGTTGACAAGACTTTTCTATTTAAAGAACAATTATTCTAAATGTTCTAGAATCGTGGGGGCATGGAACAGCATTAGTGATCCAAATCATGTGGCCTAGGGGAAAGAACAGCAGACTGGAATTTATGTCTACACTTCGGACCTTACAGCAGCACAGCCATAGATGCCGACTTCCCCGCTTTTCCCTGGGTGCTCGACCCCCCACCCCCACCCCTGCCCCCATTCCACCCCTTCCATGAGGCTCCACCCCTGCCCCAACTCTTCCCACCCTTGCCCGACCCCTATTCCAACTCCTTCCCCAAATCCCCACCACGGCCCCGCCTCCTCCCCTGAGCACACCACATTCCCGCTCCCCCCCCCCCCCCCCCCCCCGTCTTTTCACCCCCCCCCCACCCCTTGTTGCGGGCGCGGGGGGGGGGGGGGGGGGGCGGGGGCGCCGGGGGGGCGGGGGGGGGGGGGAAGGCTGGCTGTCGGTGGGTGCAGAGCGCCCACTAATTTTTCCCCATGGGTGCTCCAGCCCTGGAGCACCAATGCAGTCGGCGCCTATGAGCACAGCTGCACTGCTGAAAGCTCTCCTGTGTAGCTGCTGTATGCCAGTAGGAGAGCTCTCCGGGAGGCATAATTAAACCACCCCCAATGAGCAGCAGTAGCTATACTGTCAGAAAAGCATCTCCCACCGATATAGCACTGTCCCCACCAGCGCTTTTGTCTGTGAAGGGCACGAGATACCTTAACTCTGCATTATTGAAGGTTGGTTTTTTTGGTCAGTGAATACTTTTAAGTGTGACTAGATTATTTATTTAAAAAAACCCTTTAACTCTTAGGCTATGTCTACACTAGCACTTTTTCGGTAAAATTTGTGTCAGTCAGGAGTGTTAAAAAACCACACTCCTGACTGACATAATTTGCACCAACAGAAGCGCCAGTGTGGATAGTGCTATGTCAGCAGGAGATGCTCTCCCATTGACACAATTACTGCCTCTCATTGGGGGTGGTTTAATTATGCCAGTGGGAGAGCTCTCTCCTAGCGGCATAGAGAGTCTACACAGGAGACCTTGCAGTGGCTCAGCTGCAACGGTACAGCTGTGCCGCTGTAAGATTTCTAGTGCAGACATAGCCAGAATCTGGGAGGCCCTTTGGAAATGTGTTTTGTCTTATTTTGCAAGCTCATGAACTGGAGAAGGATTTACCACCACCTGCCCCATGGTGAATAAAAAAGTTGATCTTTTAAAAAAAATAAAAAAATAAAAAAAAATTGGACTATTAAAACCAGATTTTTTTAAAAAATATAAACCTGTATTTAATTTAATAAAAAACAAACCTATTTATAATTAAAATGACAATTTATGTTAAAGCCTAAATTTATTATGACCTATTAAAATAATTTAAATTAAGAAAATTTAAAAAAATAATATTAAGCAGTACATGTTTGCTGCCAAGTTTTAAAGAAAGTTATATCACTGAACTGGTTGAAGTCACTGGCAAACACCTGGAACCAGGCTTTGTTGGAAAGCTAAACCAGCTTTGGATAGCAGCAGTCTCTTCTGCAGATGCAGACAACGTTTTCTTTATTTCAGTTTGTTCAACTAGTTCAGCTCACTGACTAGTTCATTCAAAGATAAGAGACCAATAGGGAGTTGAAAAAGCAAGAAAAAAAATAGCTACTAATTTTCCATAACTGTTGTTTAAGATGTGTTGCACATGTCCATTGCACTCAGTGTTTGTGCACCCCACACTCAGTCACTGGAAAATTTTTCCTCAGTGTTACCCATCAGTGCGGTTCAAACACCCTCTGCCGTTGCGTACCACCAACTTCCCCAAAACCTGCCCTCCCCTTTTCCTTTTCACCATACAACTCCAACCCAGAGGGGTAGGAAAGTGGGTTGTGGAATGGACATGTACAACAGATCTTGAAGAACAACTATTATGGAAGGTTAGTAACTGTTTTATCCTCTGAGTGATTGCACATGTCCGTTCCATTCTTGGCAGCTCACAAGCTACAAAGCAGAAGTCATGGGAGTTTATATACACGCACAACTCATCCAAACTTAAAAGAGTCTCCAGAATGGGGATGTGAAGGTGGGGACTTATAATTGCTGCTTTAAAAGTGTCCTAGATAGGGACTTGTGCAAGAAACACTGACAAGGCTCATTGTGATTTTGTGGAATGCCATGTTACTTTGCTCGCTGTGGAAATGGCAGCCGGTATACACAAATACAGGAGGCTATTCATGCTGAAATTCTCTGTGATGATACTGGGAGAGCCTTCATCCTGTTTGTGATGGCCATGAACAGTTGGGTTGACAAATGGAATTGTTTAGTCCTACCTATGTAGAATGCCCAAGGTCTTCTAACATCTAGCATGCACAGGTGTTGCTCCTCTCTATTGGCATAGGGTTTTGTGTAAAACATATGCAAGAAAATTGACTGGCTAACATGAAAATTAGATACCACTTTAGAGAGAAATCTTGGATAAGGGTGTAGATACACTTTGTCCTTGAAGAAAATTGTATAAGGAGGTTCAGATGTCGGAGCACACAGCTCAGCCACCCTCCTGGCTGAAGTGATTGCTACTAAAAAAGCCAACTTCCAGTAATAGGTGTAGTAAGCAGCACATTGCTAAAGCTTCAAATGGAAGTATCATAAACTTTGACAAAATTAAAGTTCAAGTCCTGCAGGGAACCAGTTTTCTTATCTGAGGATACAACTTTTCCAGGCCTTTAAAAAATCTGATTGCGATACAGTTGTTCACATGAAGATGGAAAGCTGATGTTGCTGCTAAGTGGACCTGGATAGAACTAATCACCAACCCTTGATGTTTTAGGTGCAACAGATAGTCCAGGCTATGCTGGATTGAGAAAACCTCGAATTGATGAGATAAGATGAAAAAATGCTTCCATTGCAAAATTTAAGTAGTCCTGGTGGAAGCCTACCTACTATTTAACAAGACATGGTGAACTTGCTCCAATCAGGAGCGACTCCTCT